TTTACTAGTATTTTGTTGAGAATCTTTGCGTCTATATTCATCAGAGATATTGGTCTATAGTTTTCCTTCCTTGTTCTGTCATTATCTGTTTTAAAGATAAGTGCGATAGAGGCTTCATAGAATGAATTAGGGAGAGATTCACCCTTTTGGATCTTTAGAAATAACTTGAGCAAAATGGGGATTAACTCTTCTTTGAAAGTTTTGTAGAATTCAGAGGTGAAGCCATCAGGGTCAGGGCTTTTCTTTGTTGGGAGGTTGTTTATTACTGATTCAATCTCCTGGCTTGTTATGGGCCTATTCAGACTTTCTATATACTCCTGGCTCAATCTTGGTAGATTATATGTGTCCAGGAATTTGTCTATCTCATCCAGATTGTCTTGTTTCTTGGCATATAGATGTTCATAGTATCCTCTAATAATGTTTTGTATTTCTACTATGTCCATTGTGATTTTGCCTGCTTCGTTGCAGATGTGATTCACCTGGTTCCTTTCTCTCTTCTTAGTAAGTCTCGCTAGTGGTGTATCAATTTTGTTTATCTTTTCAAAGAACCAGCTTTTACTTACATTTATTTTCTGTATAGTTCATTTATTTTCTATTTCATTTATTTCTGCTCAGATCTTTATTATTTCCTTTCTCCTGGAGTTTTTTGGATCTTTTTGCTGTTGCTTTCCAATTCTCTGAGGCATGACGTTAGGTGATCTATTTGCCTTCTTTCCGTTTTCCTCTTATACACACTAATTGCTATGAACGTCCTTCTTATGACTGCTTTAGCAGTGTCCCAAAGATTATGGAAACTCGTGTCCTCATTGTCATTGGCTTCCATGAATCTTTTGATTTCAGTTTTTATTTCTTCAGTAGTTGTGGAGTCATTCAGGAGTACATTATTTAGTTTCCATGTATTTGGGCATTTTTTTAGATTTCTCTTGAAATTAAACTCAAGTTTAATTCCATCATGGTCAGAGAAGATGCTGGATATAGTTTCTATGCCTTTGAATCTGTAGAGGCTTGCTTTGTGCCCTATGATGTGGTCAGTCTTTAAGAAGGTTCCATGTGTGGGTGAGAAAAAGGTCTATCTCGTGGTTTTTGGATGAAAAGTTCTATAGATGTCTGTTAAGTCATTTCTTTCTAATTCACATGTATTTGTCCATATGATAGGGAGGACAACTTTTTTTAAGAATCTACGTAATTGATTCAATGTCATATGAATGAGATTAAGATAATAATAAATATAATAAAATAAACAATCTAAGAAACTAGGGTCTAGCAGGTGGCATGGTGGTTAAGGCACTGTACTACCCCATGGTTGGCCATGGTTTAAGTCCCAGACTCCATGGCTTAAAAATCATGCTAGGCACATGTGTGTGCAACCTAAATCTTGAAAGGAGAATGGGAGAGAAGGGATCGTAGCATGGCCACCCCCATAGGAGGTGATCTCTCATTTTCACTCTCCCTGTTTCTCTGTGGCAAGCATATGCACCCTATAGCAAAAACCTAAAATAAGAAAGAAAAATAATATGGGGAAATACAAATTGTAGCCCTTAGAAATCAATCTTTGGAACCAACATATGGCATAATGGTTATCACTGGACTCCCACATAGTCGACTGTGGTTTGAGTCCCTGACCTCGTGGCTTAAACTCACCCTGGGCATGTGCGTGAGCATGCCCAAAACCACAAGAGGAGAATGGAGGAGAAGGGATTGTGCTGTGGTCATCCTCCCTGGTTGGTAATTTTCTGCTTTCTGGCTCTTGATCTCTCTGGTGAGTGCACATGCCCTATAGCAAAAATCTCTCTTAAAAAAAAAAGAAGAAAGAAAGAAAGAAAAAAAAAAAGAAAAAAAGAAAAAGAAATCAATCTTCAGGGACCAGCAGATAGCGTAATGGTTATGTTGCTGAACTATCATATGGCCATCCGCACTTCGAGTCCCAAACCTGGCAGCTTGAAACTCAGGCTGGGCATGTGTGCGTGCGTGTCCGATATCCCAAGAGGAGTATGGAGGAGATGAGATTGTGGCATGACCATCACTCCAGGTGAGTGATTTTTTGCTCTCAGGCTCTCTCTGGCAAGTGTACACACCCTATTTATAGGGACTATGGACTGGGCTACTTGGTAATGCTGATATGTGGAGGAGATACCTTGAAGACATACCTCATCCCAGCCAGCTTGGGGATCATGAAATTGAAAGGGAGTCTTTGAATTACAGTTAAAGGTTATGATGGGATGATTTAAGCAGATGGTATGAGCTTTCCAGGAGTAAGTGCTTTGACACCAAGGTAAAAGGGGAGTGATGTGGAAATGACAGCAGGGACTCAGGTGAATACTAATCCTACTGTAACCATAACCATCCTACATTGGCAGAATAAAATGCTGTCTTTCAGAGAGATCTATGATTTAATTAAAGCAAGATTGTTTCAAGAGATGATGTGTCTGGGAGGGATGGAGTGATAGGAGATTAGGTCAGTTAAAAGCACATCTCGGGGTGGGGGGTGGTGAGCAGCAAGTGGCATTGTGGTTAAGGGTGCTGGTCTCCCACATGGCCAATTGTGATTTGAGTCCCAGACCTGGTGGCTTGCTTTCTCACTTCCCTCTCTCTCTCTCACTCAGTCTCTCTTCGGTCAAATTAAAATAAAGAAAGTTCAGTAAAATAATTATTTAAAAAATAAATGAAAGCATATCTTGGGGCACCAGCAGATGGTGTAATGGTTACATCGCTGGACTTCCACATAGTTGACCATGGTTTGAGTCCCAGACCAGGTGACATGAACCTCATGCTGGGTGTGTGCATATGCATGTGTGCCCAGGATCCCGAGAAGAGACTGGAGGAGAAGAGACTTCAGCATGGTCATCCCCCTGGGGGGCGATTTCACACTTTCTGTCTCTCTGGCAAGTGCACATGCCCTATAGCAAAAATCTCTCTAAAAAGGGTGGGGAGTGGGGCAGCTAATGGCATGGTTGTTAAGATGCTAGACTCTCACATGGCTGACTGCAGTTCAAGTTCCAGACCTGGCAACTTGTTTTCTTACTTTCCCTCTTTCTCTTTCTCTCTCTCTGTTTCTCTCTCTGGTGAGTGCATGTGCCCTGTAGCAAATTAAAATAATAATATAATAATGATGGTAAATAAAATTTTTAAAAAGCACATCTTAACATGAGATTGAGAATCTGGAGAAGAACAAGGACCCCAGGGATTTGTATAGTAGCCCTTCTTTAACTCAAGATGGAAGAGAGAGGATGCATGGTGAATCTAGCTCCCTTCAGGGTTCTCAGCAAAACCAGAGACATAAACATGCTATAGCGATCAGTGTAGTGCTCTCTACCCAGAGACCTTGGACAGAGGTGGAACCCAGACCACACTAGTAATTAATGTATTCAGTTTAAAATTACAGTAGGTTATAAACACAAAAGCTTAAGATTTATCCTAGTATTTAAAACAAATTCTCTTCTACACATGTACTAAACACTTTGACAAATAAACAGAATAAGGTGATAGAGGTTTTCTGTTTGTTTGTTTTGTTTTTTTGACATAGGGTGCATGCTCTCACCAGAGAGAGACAAAGAGACAGAGATAGAGAGGGAAAGTGAGAAATTACCCTCTCGGGGGAATAACCACACTGCAACCCCTTTTCCTTCATTCTCCCATTCTCCTCACAGGATTTTGGGCATGTACATGCATGCCAGTGCATTTTTCTTTAAAGAATTAATTCTTTTTTAAAAAATTATTTATTTATTTTCACATGAGTTTGCCAGAGAAAGACAGAGAGAGAGAGAGAAAACAAGCCACCAGATCCAGACCTGAACCGTGGTCAGCCATGTGGGAATTTCAGCACCTCAACCACCAGGCCACTTGCTGACCCTCCTGGCGTGTTTTTCAAACCACCAGGCCTAGAACTCAAACCACACAGTTGGCCATGACAGATCTAGCATCTTAACCTACATGCTACTTGCTGGCCCCAAAACTGAGCATTTTTGAAAAGGTAAGAAACAAATGAACAAACAAAAACCTAGAGCTTTGTGTTGGTGCACTGCATGAGCAATATTCCAAGAAAAGGAGTCAGAGGGAGGAATCAGTAAGTCCTATAATGGCAGGAAATGGGCAGGGGGAGAGTCAGAATCCTGTAATTTTTTGAGAGAGAGATTTTTGCTATAGGGCACATGTGCTTATCAGAGAGACAGACAGAAAGACAGAACATGAGAAATCACCCTCCCCCCCCCCCCGGGGAAAAACCATGCCACAATCTCTTCTTCATTCTTCTCCCAGGAATTTGGGCACTCAATGCACACACACCTGGCATGAGTTACAAGCCGCTGGTTCAGGACTCAAACTGTGGTGGGCCATGTGGGAATACAACAACATAACTAGTACACCATCTGCTGGTTCAAGAAGTCCTATAATTTTAAAGAAAAATATTTCTAGGAGACATCTTCAGAAAACCACTCATTATTCAAGCTACACCTTTATATCTGATGTTCCCAATCACAGAGCTGGGTCTGTAGGCCGCTTTGGTTCCATGCTTGGAGATGGACAAGGAAGGCCTTAACCAACTGCTGAGGAGTTTGTCTTGATGCATGCAGGAATTTCTGACATGGATCCAGAAAATGCTGGACTTAGCTTTTGGTATAATTGGAAATATACTTGGGACCAGCAGTTGGTGTAATGGCTATGTTGCTGGATTCCCATGTAGTTGACTGCGGTTCAAGTCCTAGACCCGGTGGCTTAAACTCATGCCGGGCGCGTGTGCGTGCATGCCCAAGATCCTGAGAGGAGAATGGAGGAGAAGGGATTGCGGCGTGGCCATCCCCCCCCCGGGAGGTGATTTCTTGCTTTCTGTCTCTCTGTCTCTCTGGCAAGCGCACACACCCTATAGCAAAAACCTCTCCAAAAAATTTTTATACACACACACACACACACACACACACACACATATATATATATATATATATACTCCGAAGTGATGTTCAGCTAACATATGAACAGTTTTGATTGCCCAGGATCTATGTTATACCTGTTAATTAAATATTTTAAAATCATACCTGATATATTCATCTGAAAAGGATGAATTCAAATATAATCCAACATGAAGGCAAAAAGATAACTAATTTCCAGACTGTCCCTATAGCCTAGTGGTTAAAGGAATTGGATCCCACGTGACCGACTGCAGTTTGAATCCCAGTCCCAGTAACTTAAAAAATGTGGCAGACACATGTATGCATGCTCCAAATCCCAATAGAATGGAGAAACAAGGGAGAAGGGATTGCAGTGTGACCACATCCCATTGTGGGGTGTTTTTTGTTCTCTCTCTCTTTTTCTCTCTGCAGAGTATATGTGTCCTCTGGCAATTAAAAAATTATAAATATATATTTGACAAATTTCCTTTTAGTCCCACAGTTTTTGAGAGCCCAAGGCAATTGAAATCCTTTGTCAGTCTTGAAGTTAAGCATAGAAATAGATCACTCGCAGGCAAGTTTAAACTCTTGGCACCTCAACAGCTGCTAAGCTTTAATTATTAATTCAGTTTACCCAAGTGCTTGTTCTTTCTTTTAGCTTGTGAATTCCTTGGTGGAAGATTTGCTGTCTTCTTTGGTCTTACTCAGCCCAAATACCAGTATGTGTTAGAAGAGTACTATAGAATACAAAACAAGGTATGTAACATCTGATGGGGACACCAAAGGCCTGAGATGGGAATCTGGGCTGCTCCCACTTCAACCTGGTATAGAAGAGTCTTTTCCTACCTGAGAATCACATACTACAATTTCACTGAGTTCCCATGGTCAAACTGACTTATTTTTCTAATATCCCTTTTAACACTTCATATTTCCCTTACTCCTATGAAGTTAGGATGTTATAAAATGTGTCATAAAAGAAGATAATCAATGGGACCAGCAGATGGCATAGTGGTTAAGTTGCTGGACTCCTACATAGCTGACTGTGGTTCAGGTCTCAGACCTGGTGTCTTTAAATGCACACTGGGCACACATGTGTGTGTGTGCTCAAAATCCCAAGAGGAGAATGGAGGAGAAGGGACTGTGGCATGGCCATCCCCCCTGGGAAGGGGGGGAGGTGAATTCTCACTTTCCGTCTTTCTATCTCTCTCTGTCTGGTGAGTGCACATGCCCTATAGTTAAACTTTTCTTTATTTTTCCTTCATACCAGGAAAGTGACAAGGAGAGTGAAGGGAATGGATCAAAGGTCCATATAGCAGGAGCTCCTAATGAAAAGTCTTACTTGGAGCCTGGAGTCCGAGAGTATGGGACCAGACAGAAGGACCCTGCAGAGGCCATTCCTCCAAGGAGCACCACCCCCAGGCAGAGTGTGGAGGCAGATTCCAGTTCACAATGAGCATCAGAGGCTCTACTTTCTCTGGAACCCTGTTCCTTTGCCACTGATTAGCATGGCAACAGAACCACAGGTAGCACGTCTGACCCAGATCTTATCCTAATCTTTTCATGATTTATATTCAAGCATCCCAGAATTGCAAGCAACAATGAGAATAATCTTGGATACTTTCTCAATATACATTTTTATTTATAAGTCCTTCCATCCTGATTCTATCCCACTGATATGAGCCCTAGTAGTGTTGACACTTGTAGCATAATATAAATGTCATAAAAACTTTGGGCCTGGGAATTTGGAGCTGAAATTTTTCATAGTAGGGCTAGGATGCCATAAAGGATCTCTGTTTCTCAGAAGAAAATTTGGGCACCAGGAACTCCAAATAAATCCCCCAAGGGGATTTGACATAAAGTGTATATTTCTAAATAGCCACCTTCATTTAGTTGGATCTTGCTTTACAGTAAACATAAATAAATATTCTTAATAGCTCTGTTACAAGATCTTTATCAAAGAGTTTTATAATAAAGTATACTCCCCAAAATAAATTAAACCAAAAAATTTATGTAAGCTTTAAAAAAAAGTATTTTTTAAATGAATGATTTTATTTTTTGTCAAGAAATTTTAAAACTGGAAAAGATCAAACATGGAAATTATAACTAGGTAACACAGGTTCTTCGGGCTAAAGGTAACTGGAATATAGTAGAAAAACACAGGACTTGCAGTTATAAAACTTGAGCTCAAGTTTCCGTTCTACCATTTACTAATTGTGATTTCGTAAGTCCAGATTTCTGAGCTCCAGTCTTCTTCGGAAAATATAGAGGGCATTATTTATTCCTCAAGGATTATTATTTAACAAAATGAGATAATAAATGTAAAAATGCTTTTAAAACAGTGGATAATGATTGTTAATTTTTAACTGATAGCTATTATAAGTTGTTATATTGGTGATCCCTGAAGAATCACATATTCTGAAATTCATGCCCTTATATAGTCCCACCCCCATTCACTCTAGGCTTGGCCATATGACTTTCTTTGGCCAATGAGATAATAGCAAGTATGATGTAAGTAGAGGCTTGAGGAGCACTTGAACATTGGGGCTTGTCTTTTTGGAAAGCTCCATGTCGTAAAGAAGCTTGGGCTGGCTGAATGATGACCTTGTCGGATTTCTAAAAGATGAGAAGCTATGTGGAGATAAGTCTCCAAGGATGAAAGAGCATCTTATACATTCCATCCCTAGCCAAGCTCCCAGCAGCACATGAGTAGGCTTTTCTACCCTACGTGGGACAGATGAACTATGAAGCTGAGCCCAGTGAACCCCACAATCATGAGAAATAATAACTTAAGTTTTGGAGTGGTTTGTTATGCAGCCAATGAGGAACTGAGGCCTGCTGATGACCGCAGGAGTGCACATAGGAGACAATCTTCTTCCTGATAGCTTTTCTGAAAGCTCAAGAAATATCCTGAAACAGAACCTCCCAGCAAAGCCATTCATGGATTCTGAATCACAGAAAATGTGAGATAATATGAGCCCGCCATTGGTGTGGTGATTAAGGTGACTGAATCCCACATGGTCCACCACATGGTTTGAGTCCCAGACCCAGAGGCTTGAAAAACAACCCAGGCACATGTGCATGGGTGCCCAAATTCCCGAGAGGAAAATGGTGGAGAAAGGATTGTAGTGTGGCCATCTCTACCTGGTGGGTGCTTTTTCATTTTCTTTCTCTCTCTCTCTCTCTCTGGAGAGTGTATATGCCCTATAGAAAATTTAAAAAGAAGAAGAAAGAGAAGGGGAAGAGAGAGAAGAACAGAGAGAGAAAGTGAGAAAGCAAGCTGGCAGATCTAGGACTCAAACTGCAGTCAGCCATGTGGGAGTGCAGCGCCTTAAGCTCCATGCCACCTGGTGGCCCCTAGCCTGTACATGTTTAAGTGAAAGGACGAGTTTCATGTCTCTCACTTTAAATTAAAACCTAGAAATTACTAAGCTTAGTGAGGAAGTCATGTCAAAAGCCAAGACAGGCCGGAAGTTAGGTCTTTGCTCCAAATATAGTATAAATTGTGAATGAAGGAAATTAAAAGTGCTACTGCAGGGGCCAGCAGGTGGTATGGTGGTTAAGGCACTGGACTCTCACATGGCCAACTGCAGTTCCACTTTTGGATCTGGTGGCTTGCTTTCTTACTTTCCTTCTCTCTCTCTCTCTCGCTGTCACTTTCTAGTGAGTACACATGCCCCATAGCAAATTACGAAAAATAATAATAAATAGAATTAAAATAAGTAATTATTATTATTTTTTCTTTTTTTGGAGAGGTTTTTGGTGTAGGGTGCGTGCGCTCGCCAGCCAGACAGAGAGAGACAGAGCGACAGAAAGCGAGAAATCACCCCCCAGGGAGGTTGGCCATACGGCAATCCCTTCTCCTCCATTCTCCTCTTGGGATCTTGGGCATGCATGCACATGCGCCCGGCATGAGTTTAAGCCACCAGGTCTGGGACTCGAACTGCGGTCGACTACACGGGAGTTCAGTGACATAGCCATTACGCTAACTGCTGGTCCCAGTAATTATTTTTTAAAAGTGCTATTCCAATCAACACAAAATTATAAGAAAGCAAAACAGCCATATGCCTGATATGAGGGGAAAGTTTTTAACTTTTTAATTTTTAAAATTTATTTCCAGAGGGCATGTGCATTCTCTGGAGGGAGAGGGAGAGAGAAAGGGAAAGATTCCCTCTTCTTTCTCTTCCATTTCGCTCTTCTTTGGGGATTTTGAGCATGCACTCATATGTGCCCAGAGTGTTTTTCAAGCTACAGAATCTGGAACCTCACATAGTGAGTCATTTTGGATCCAGCCACCTTAGCCATAAGATCATAGGCTGGTCCCATATGGAAAAAGTTTCTGTGGTCTGGATAGAGCAAACCAGCCATAACATTCCATTAAACCAAAACCTAATCCAGAAAAAGGCCCCAACTCTTTAATTCTATGAAAACAGGTAGAGACAAGGAAGCTGCAGAAGAAAAGTTTTGATGTCATCAGAGGTTGCTTCATGAGGTTTATGGAAAGATCCCATTCCATAACATAAAAGTAGAAAGTACGTAGCAGCAAGTCTGATTTAGACACTGCAGCATGTTATCCAGAAAATGTAGCTAAGGTAAATGATGAAGGTGGCAAATTCTAAGATTTTTAAAAAAAATTTTTGGAGAGGCTTTTTTTCGCTATAGGGCGTGTGCACTCGCCAGACAGAGAGAGAGAGACATAGAGACAGAAAGTGAGAAATCACCCCCCAGAGGGGATGGTCATGCCGCAATCCCTTCTCCTCCATTCTCCTCTCTGGATCTTGGGCACACATGCACACGCGCCTGGCGTGAGTTTTAAGCCACCGGGTCCGGGACGCGAACCGCGGTCGACTACGTGGGAGTCCAGCGACATAGCCATTACACTATCTGCTGGTTCCCAGCAAATTCTAAGATTTTCATCGAAGACTAAATAGTCTTCTACTAGAAGAAGATAGGACTTTCATCAATGAAGAGAAGTCAAGGCCTGGCTTCAAACTTCAAAGAACAGGTGGGCTCTCTCGTTAGGTGCTAGTGCAACTGGTAACTCTTTAAGTTGAAGCCAATGCTCATTTACCACTACCCCTAAAATTATGCTAAATCAGGCTGGTCTGTAGCCTAGTGATTAAGAGCCAGATCCGACATGGCCAACTGCACTTTGAATCCCAGTCCCATGTCTGTATGCATGCCCCAAATCTCAACAAGGAGAAATGGAAGAAAAAGGATTGTGGTTTGACCATGACCCATTTGGGATGATTTCTCTTCTCTTTTCTCTTCTCTTCTCTTCTCTTCTCTTCTCTTCTCTTCTCTTCTCTTCTCTTCTCTTCTCTTCTCTTCTCTTCTCTTCTCTTCTCTTCTCTTCTCTTCTCTTCTCTTCTCTTCTCTTCTCTTCTCTTCTCTTCTCTTCTCTTCTCTTCTCTTCTCTTCTCTTCTCTTCTCTTCTCTTCTCTTCTCTTCTCTTCTCTTCTCTTCTCTTCCTCTCCTCTCCTCTCCTCTCCTCTCTCTCTCTCTCTTTCTCTCTCTCTCTCTTGCAAACACACATATCTTCTGACAATTAAAAAAAATTATGCTGAATCTGATCTGTTTTTTACATGGAACAAACCAACCTGGGTGATAGCACATGTTAGCAGCTTGGTTTAATGAGTATTTTAAGTCCATTATTGAGACCTACCGCTGAGAAAACAATGATTAAAATAAAAATACTGCTCATTGACAATGTATCTGATCATCCAAGAGCTTGATGGAGACATACAAGGAGATTCATGTTATTTTCATGCCTACAAGCACAATGTCCATCCTGTAGCTCTTCAGTTAAGTAACAAATTCAACTTTCAAGCTTTATTATTGAAGAGATACATTTTGTACGACTCTAGCTGCCATAGCTATGGATCTGGGAAAAGTAAATGAAAACCTACTGGAAAGGATTCACCATACCTTTAGTAACATTCATGATTCAAGGAGGGGTCAAAATACCAACATTAATAGGAGTTTGGAAGAAGTTGATTCATTACCCTTTAGACAAGGGACTCAAGACTTCAGTGGAGGAAGTAACTCAGATGGTAGAAATGCAAAGAAAACCAGTTAGAAGTGCCTGAAGATGTGACTGAATGCTGCAATTTCATAGGAGTGGCTTCTTATGCTTGAGCGAAGAAAGTGGTTTCTTGAGATGGAATCTACTCCTGGTTATGCCATGAATAGGGACCAGTGAAGAGCGTAATGACTATGTCATTGGACTCCCATGTAGTCAACCGTGGTTTGAGTCCCGAACCCAATGACTTAAACTTACAGTGGTTGCATGTACATGAGTGCCCAGGATCCAAAGAGGAGAATGGAGGAGAAGGAATTGCAATGTGGCCATCCCCCTTGGGGAGGTGATTTCTCACTTTCTGTCTCTCTGTCTTTCTGGCGAGTGCATGCACTCTATAGCAAAAACCTCTAAAAAAAAAAAAAAAAGACGCTGTAAATGTTGTTTAAAAAATGACAACGAAGGGTTAAAATATTACATAAATTGGGACCACAAGGTGGCATGGTGGTTAAGGTGTTGTATTCCCACATGGCTGACTGTTGTTTAAGTCCCAGACCTGGCAGCTTGAAAATCATACTGGGCACGTGTGTGTGTATGCCCAAACTTCCAAGAGGAAAATGGAGGAGAAGGATTGGCAGCATGGCCTTCACCCTTGGGGGGCTGATTTCTCTCTCTGTCTCTCTCCAGTGAGCGCACATGCCCTATGGCAGAAAACCAAAAGCTTTTTTTAAATTACATAAATTAAATTGATAAAGCATAGTCAAGGTTTAAGAAGACTGATACCAATTCTGAAAGAAGTTCTATGGTAGGTAAAATAGTAATCAAGCAGCACTGCATGCTACAGAGAAATACTTTGTGAAAGGAAGAGTCCATAGATGC